GGATAGACTACTGAAAGACATTGTCACCGAAAGCAACAGTTTTGACTTAGTGGCATTTGTTCCACTGTTGAGAGAGAGAATCTACTCCAACAATCAGTATGCCAGGCAGTTTATAATTTCTTGGATTCATGTTCTGGAGTCTGTGCCAGACATCCACCTGTTAGACTATCTCCCTGAGATCTTGGATGGGCTCTTCCAGATCATGGGGGACAATAGCAAAGAGATTAGAAAGACCTGCGAGGTGGTGCTTGGAGAGTTTCTAAAGGAGATTAAGAAGATTCCCTCTACTGTGAAGTTTGCTGAGATGGCCAACATATTGGTTATCCACTGCCAGGCTGCAGATGAGACCAAATTAACAAATGATCTGATCCAGCTGACAGCTATGACATGGATGAGGGAGTTCATCCAGCTTGCGGGCAGAGTGATGCTTCCGTACTCTTCTGGCATCCTGACTGCAGTGCTCCCTTGCCTTTCCTATGATGACAGAAAGAAGAATACTAAAGAGGCTGCTAGTGCTTGTAATTACAGTCTAATGAAACTGGTCACTCCTGAGGATGATGAGGAAGAGGAGGAGGAAAGGCGTGAAAGCACAGGGTCACCATCCAAGGAAAATGACAAGCCCAAAACAGAGACAGACAGCAATGATATGCTGAATGCATCTCAGGAGTCTGTTGGTTTCAGTAATATCAGTTTCTTCACTCCACCAAGTGCTGATAGGCCTCAGGTAACTCTGGACCTGGATGGCATTGTTCAGGTGTTGGACCGCCACCTTCACGACTCCTCCACTGGCATGATGACCCGCATAGCTGTGCTTAAATGGCTTTATCACCTCTACATCAAGACACCACGCAAAATGTTCCGCCACACAGACAGTCTCTTTCCCATGCTCCTGAAAACTCTGTCCGATGAGTCCGATGAGGTCATACTGAAAGATCTGGAGGTCTTAGCTGAGATAGCATCATCCCCTGCTGGCCAAACAGACCAAAATTTGTCCTGTGACAACACTGACAATAAGGTGGTGCTCAAGGTGCCAGAGGATGTGAAGCCTGCACAGCAGTCCAGCACAGGATCCAAGGGGGTGGACTCATCCCCCTCCACTCCCAGTATGAACTCTTATTTTTACAAGTTCATGATCAACCTGCTCAAGCGTTTCAGTCTGGAGAGAAAGCTTTTGGAGAACAGAGGAGCTTTCATCATCAGACAGTTGTGTCTGTTGCTTCATGCAGAGAACATCTTCCACTCCATGGCTGACATCCTGTTGAAGGAGGAGGACCTTAAATTTGCATCCACCATGGTTCAGACACTCAACACTATCCTGCTCACCTCAGCTGAGCTCTTTGAGTTGCGCAACCAGCTGAAAGACCTGCGCACTCAGGAGAGCTGTGCTTTGTTTTGCTGCCTGTATCGTTCCTGGTGCCACAACCCTGTGGCGACCGTCTCACTTTGTTTCCTCACGCAGAACTACAAGCATGCCTATGATTTGATCCAAAAGTTTGGAAATCTCGAGGTTACAGTTGACTTCCTGATGGAGGTCGACAAGCTTGTACAGCTTATAGAAAGCCCCATTTTTACATACTTGCGTCTGCAGCTCCTCGATGTGGAGAACAACCCATACCTGATAAAGGCACTGTACGGTCTGCTGATGCTGCTGCCCCAGAGCCAGGCCTTTCAACTGCTCTCCCACCGCTTGAGTTGTGTTCCCAATCCAGAACTCATGAGGACTGTAGATGAATCCAAGTATATGGACTCTAAACAGCACGTGGCTTCCAGACGTGCCTCTCACACTCAGGTGGATTACAGTGAGCTGCTCCAGCATTTTGAACGTGTCCAGAGCAAGCACCTTGAGGTACGACACCAGCGCTCTGGGCGTTCCTCTGATCACCATGACAGGAAGCTGATGTGAAGTTATTATACCATAGTAGGATGAGATTTAAAAAACAAATATCAAGGAGTGAAATAATAATATGGTTGTAAGATGAGAACTGCTACTGAAGCCAAATAGTATAACAATAGTAAGTAAAATTTTAAGTGTTTGCTAATGAAATACTAGGTAAAAATAAATCAAATAATCAGAATATGTATTTAATACATTACACTACTAGTTAATTTCTTCTGTGTAAATTTAGTATGGAAAATGTACATAGTTGCTCATAACTCATCTAATATTGGTCGTATTAGGCAATATCTTGAGTTCCCATTATGCCCTGTCAGTTTGTTTTTCTTTTTAACGGTAAATTAAACATTCGATAATGTTTCGTGTTAAACTGACAATCATTTACTTTAATCATTTATTCTAGAGTTAAATGGTGCACAAGTAATTCACCATGTAATTCAATTTCCACGTGAGCCACTGTATTTCTGTGGTATACTTTGTTTAGTAGTACTACTAGAGTTTATGTTCAGTTTGGCCTTAACCTCACTTTAGCCAGAAAAGAAATCTCTTTAAGATTGACTGCGCTAAAGTAAGACTTCAAACTTGAAGGAGCTGATGAATGGTATATGCTGTTGGTAAACCCATGTATGGGCTGTTGTTTTGTTTCACAACAACTTACTTACACACTTTGAGCATTTAATTCTTTTGCTTTTTTTGTACAGTGTCTGTTCTGCTTACTCATCAATGCTCTTTTGTCTTTGCACATTTGTCATTCCAATGTGAAAATGATTAAAGTGGACCATGTGATTAGAAACATTTCAGTGTTGTTTTTAAAATGTCTTAAAATAACAAATAATTACTATATTGTTAATAGTCAGACATTTTCTTTTAGAAAGTTAAGCCAACTTTTGCACCATATTATCAGTATTTAAATTATGTTTGAAGAGAAGGAGTTCTCAGTTTTTGTCACATTGGGACACTGACTGGGAGTTATTCTGTCATAATAGGCTGTTAATAGTAAAAACAACAACAACAACAACAAAAATCCCCTCTCGCCCCTGCTGGCGGTCAATCCTTCAAGATCATGTCCTCTACCAGAGGCCTGGCAGCTTGAGGGTCCTGTGCAGCCTCTTAGCTGTTCCTAGCTCCGCTCTCTTCTTAACAGAGATCTTAGATGTTGTTCCTGGGATCTGTCATATAAAACAGAAAATCCTTCTTTTTTGTTTTGTGTCAAAGAATTTATATGTGAATTTATAAACAGTCTAGTGTTAACATTACATTACATAACATTACATATATTACATACTTGTTACTATCATTATAAGTATTATTATTGCTATTACTATTACTATTATTATTTTAGACTTGGTTAATTGCTTTCCCCACTGTCTTTCTATTCTGTTTTAGGCCTGTAAGTGTATTGTTAATACCAAACCTTTTCTAGGATCTTACTTACATAAGGAATTCCTTAATTATTCCAAATGTTAATTAATTCTTCTACCAGAAAATGTATTTTAGTGCTGATCTTTGTACTTGAAAGAGGGAGTGACAGGATACACCCTGGACAGGTTACCAATCTATTGCAGGGGCACCTAAAAACAGTTTTCACTTAATAATTATAATCATCGTGGCTCATACTTTGTCTTTTTTTATCACATACATACAAGAGGAATATTTTCACTTGTGTTCTTTAAATTTTACATTAGCCTAGCTTGAAACCTTCCTTTAATATGTGTTAATTTGTGGTGAAACTAAAGGCTCTGGGACTCTCTCCCACTCTATTTGGCTACAAGGGGATACTTATTTATATGTAATACATGCACAGTGATACAGATCTTTTTGTTACTCAGTTAAATTTCCAAATGGTGGATGATTGCTGCTGCAATGTATGTGGAAAAGCCTTCTTGACTAAAAGTGTCCTCTCTATTTTAAAGACACTCGGCTTCACACATCCATAGTGGCAAGCACATGGTGACAGATTTTTTTCCCACTCAATCTATCAGGAGATCAGAAGTGAACTGTAATACCTTCAAACCTCATCATGTGACTAAACACATAAATCCACAGAGCAAAGCAGCAATTATGTGCTTTCCTAATTATTTTGATCTCATCCATTTAGAAACCATTTACAAGTCAGTATCATTGTAAACAGCTGAAACATGATTACAGAGCAAACTCTCACATGACTGTAGTGTTCATATATATATGCAGTATGTGTGTGTTTAGGTTTGTTGGCTCTGGTGTTGCTATTAGTGTCTGAACTGCTACCCTGGCTCTGGCATGAGCACAAATCAAATTTTCACTTTGGCATCTCAACAAGACGGCAGGCGGCTAAAAAATAAAATTAACCCACTTTATTTAATGTTCATGACCAGATTAATCTCAAAGTTTACACGCCTTGTTTGGATGTGTTAGGAGGCTTTTTAGGCAAAGGTGGACATAAAAAAGAAGCAACATCTTTTTCACTCCATCACTAATATAATAATTGGACTACAAATTCCTAAGAAATCCCTGTGCCGTTTTCCCATCAACACTCTCAACCTAATTTGGGGTGGGTTGATTGTAATAATTAGAAACAGGTCAGCTTGCTTTTATAGATGTTTAAAATGGACAAATCCACCGTCATGACCACCATGTGACTGTTTGCACACCTTTTTTGAAATATAAGGACTACCATAAGGGATATGGAAAAGTGATGTGTCACTTCCTAAAAGCCTCATGTCCAAAGCTAAACTTAACAGAGAAAAAATGTTCCAGTGGTGATGACTTCTTTCTATTTATACTCCCACCCTGAGTCTTATTTTGGACATTGTTTCTTAGTCACCTCTTTTATTACACACAGACTTCAGAAACTTCTCAAATAACAAGAGGCGATAATAACATAAGTGTAATGAGAAGATTGCTGAGGGTGCAGCTACTCTATCATCACTATTCTCCCTTCTGTCATCCCTAGGATTATATTATTTGTGTACATCTGAATAGATAAAATCTCTTTGATAAAGCGATGTTTTTTTCTCAGGGGTGGTGTTTATTTGAGAAAGCGCAATCTGCATGCACAACACAACACAGCATGCCTGTGTGAGCTGAGATATTAACACTTATTAATAAGGCTAAGAAGTAGCCGTCCAGCACATGGGAGTGGCTTTGGATCCTGTCATATCATCAAAGCTCTGTGTAGAAGAATGGCCACCAGACGTGCTCATACTGAGGATGACCTTTCCTGCCCAGTGTGTGGACATATTCTAAGTCAGCCTGTGGTGCTCACTTGCAGACACAAATTCTGTAAAGCCTGTCTGAAGGACAGCTGGGACACACAAGACAGTGGGGATTCACATTCACACTACTGTCCTCTTTGCTGGCGCCGTTCCTCTATGGATCAAATAGTCGTGAGCACTGTGCTCGAGAAGGCCTGTGAATCCTTCAAGAAGGACAGAAGCAAGAATGACCCAGAGGCTTGCAAAGAGCATGGAGAAAAGCTCACACTCTTCTGTGTGGAAGACTTAGAGCCAATTTGTGGTCTATGTGGGAAAGCAGCTGCACACTCCGGGCACCGGCTTTATGCCATCGGGGAAGGTGCCCATGACTGCAAGGTAAGCATGTTAAGGTCACAGGGATACTCAGACCATTTACTTTTTGCAAACAGAAGTTGCACGGTTTAATTAGATCTCCTTATCTTAAACATAAATAAATTTGCACAAAACAATCTCTATCTGCAAATGACGCAATGGATAATGAAAAAAATGTTTGTTGATGTATCAGCCACAGTGTTTGCAGGGTAAATTACATGTCAATGACTACAACCTAAGATTAACAATAGTAAGGTTAAGCCTGTGTAATTAAGGATATGTTGACAGTCCTGAATAGTCTGAGAGACAATATTTCAGAAGTCAGCCTCAAATACTGTTTATCATTTTATAAACAGGTGATGCATCATGTTGCACCCAAACTGTATTTTAATTGAAATCTTCTCAAAAAAAAAAGTTTTTTCATTACTTTTGACTTTACTCTTCTGAACTTCTTTTGTATTTCTCAGAGTCTGATATGCTGATACATTATGTGTGAAGCTTTTTTTCTGGCAGTGTTCATTAACATTCTAATAATAGATTTATATATTTGGTTTACTGTTGCTATTGCTGTGCTAAAAGAACTGAAACTTGACTCCCACACGGTTTCTCTGACGCCACATTAACTCTGCTCATGCCTTCTTCTGCCTGGTCTCAAGACCAGTAAACATTTAATACTTATCTGGAAAATAAAACTATAGGAGCCTATATTATACTCCTGTTTGGATGCTTGATTTTGTTTGTGTCACCAGATAAAAAGATATGTCTCTTAAAACCAATGCTGATGTAATGTGCAGCTTTGCACTGACATGGAATGCTGCCATGAAGGGTATGCAGCAGCTGAAAGCCCCACATTGTGCTGGCAGCTTGGCCACCTGCCAGAGTGACCTTGTTTTAAAGAGTTGATGGCCTGTCTTTTTTTTTTTTTTTTAAAGGAGGAACTAAAGAGTGCACTCTTACCATTGAAAGAGAAATTACAGCTGTACAAGAAGACAAAAATGGTCTGTGAGGAAATGGCAGAACATGCCAAGGTACTGTCAGTTCCATCAGTTCCAAATGTTGCTTTGGACTTCAAAAAGAGCCAAGGTGCGGAAGCAATGATTACTCATCAATCATGTGTCTTTCCAGAACCAAGCTGAACAGACTGAAACACAGATCAAAGAGGAATTTGAAGCCCTTCACCGTTTCCTTAAAGAGCAGGAGGCTGCCAGACTTTCTGATTTAAAGGCTGAGGAGGATCAGAAGAACTTAATGATTAACCAGACGATTGAAGAGATCAACGGTGAAATGGCATCTCTTTCCAACACCATCAAATTAGTTGAACAGGAGATGTCAACTCAAGATATCCCATTTCTTAAGGTAGACCAGATCAATTAGAACAGCAAGCTGACTGTAATGTTTTTATATATTTGAAAGTATCATTTGATAAATGATCCTCTTTATTTTTACTTTCAGAAATACAAGGAAACAATAAGGAGGTAGGTGCTACCACATCCACTTCAGCTTATTAACAATATTCACAAATTAACTGCTCGAGTATCTTTTCAGAACCTGGCAAAGTTCTCCCGATCCACAAATGGTATCTAGTGCTCTGATTGATGTGGCCAAGCACTTGGGCTCTCTGAAATATAAAGTGTGGGAGAAGATGAAGAGGATAGTCAAATACAGTGAGTTTCACACACAGAATTTGTTTGCCAGATTTACTGTCATGCTTTTATGCCTATCACAGCACCAACTTCTTACTTATTTCCCGAAGCTCCTGTGATTCTGGATCCGAACACAGCAGCTAGCTGCTTCATCATCTCCGAGGATCTCACAGTTGTGCAGAACTCTACCCAGATTTTCAAGCTCCCAGACAACCCAGAACGTTTTGACATCAGTGCTGAGATGCTGGCTGCTGAGGGCTATTCCTCTGGACGCCATAGTTGGGATGTAGAGGTGAATGACAACACCTACTGGGTGGTCGGGGTAGCCAGTGAGTCAATCAACAGGAAGGGTAAACACATTCTAACACCAGCAGAGGGATTCTGGACTATAAGGTTTCGCAATGGAGAGCATAAAGCCTGCACAGCACCGTGGGAGCCGCTCAACATGACCAATAAGCCAGATGTGATAAGAGTGGTTTTAGACATGGACAGAGGCAAGGTGACCTTTTACGACCCTAGACAGAGAACACCCCTCTACACCTTCACAGATGTTGTCACACCTAGAGCCTTTCCTTACTTTTGCACTGCTTGCAAAGAGCATCCACTGAAAATTCTACCCTCACGGATATCCTTATCAACAGAACAGTAAATCAACTTGAAGACATTATGAAATTGTTCTGTAAACTCTGTGGCTCTTCATAATGATCCAGGTTACAGTAGGATATTAAAGTAACCTTTAATTGCTTTAAACAGACACAGATTAAAATCTTTCATTTGAGTTAAAAAATTTCCAACAGATCCATGATTGTGAATATCTTCCCAAGCTTTACAACTACATCTTACAACAGTAATGAGATTTTTTTACACAATAACAGTTACTATATGTGACCTAGTATTGTATGATGAAAATATCACTTCTGTGATTTCGACACACAGTTAAGCTCATATTAAAAAAAAAAGTCATTAAATACCAATCTTAGTTTCATAAAAGGCACATAAAACAGCAATGCTGGCATATTTGTAAACAAGTGTCCTCAGAAGTTCAGATTTGACAAGTGGGATTAGTTTCCCATTGCAATAAAAATGTCAAAGATAAAATGTCAAGGGTTAGTGTTCAAGCTAGTAGCCACATACACTGCATGTTGAACTCTGGGCTCTTAGCCTCATTCATACACACAGCAATAACACTAAACTATTGTTTAAACCTATACAGAATTAATCTTGCAGCACAGTTTATAAACAGGTACATATCATGTAACAAAGTTTAACCTGACTACCCTTTTTTCCTACTCACATTAATGTAAGATTTCTACTCCACTTTATGATGATGATGCTCAGATTTTAAAAATGGACAAAGATGCTATTAAAGGGAATAAATGCCCACACATCATGTTCTGGTATGTTACTTATACAGTGTTAAAACATCATCTGTTACAGTACTCTCTCCATGTCGGAAGCCCGCTCACTCTCTTCCCTGCAACTGTGGTACATCAAGGCTAAGTGATGCACACACTCCTTTATCCATATATTACTCATTCTCTGAAAAGTAGCTGTTTAAGTAAGGGTCCCTGACTGCCCTGCTAAAGCCTCCAGATCATAAAGACATTCTTCCCTCGACTATAGCATTGTATAGCTCCTCATTCATGGCCTCGTAACGTGCACCTCTGGTGTTTAAAAAGTAGATCTTGTCATTCGTGAGTCGTGGGTCGAATCCCTCCCTCTGCAGCCTGGTTTTCTGGATTTTAAATGTACCTATACAGAAATATTGATACAAACAGATTATAATTTGCTTTCATATGTAGTCATCAGTGGTAGCATAAAACTAAAGGAGCATTTTACCAGTGGTGTCTACATGTGGGGAGATTCTCAGGAACACAGGGCGAGCATACGGAGGAAGAACTCGTTGGATATTCTGCAAGAAATTGCTGCAGTCAAAACTCCCCGTGGCATCTGCAATGGCAGCCATGCCTGCCTTACCTTCCACACCTGGAGTTAAGCATAGAAATAAATAGTTGTAGTATTGAGTTATTTTAAAATCACTAAACAATAAAGGGGAACTACATAGTCCCAATGCAATGCTAAAGGCAGTTAAGTACATGAACCATTACCTGGCACTGCCACACCATACACTGCAACATCAGTTTGACCCAGAAGATTGCTTAGTATACCCTCAACCTCAGTGGTGGAGACGTTTTCCCCTCGCCAGCGGAAGGTGTCCCCACTGCGATCCCGGAAGTACATGTAGCCCAGCTCATCCATCACTAACACGTCACCTGGGGTGGAGGTAAAGCAAAGTACCTGTGCGGTTTTTACAGCTATTAATCACTGACATGAGTTATTTAAACTTCCAAGTTTTGTTTGAATAACAATTACCTTGAACACTTGAAAAACACAAGTTTAATGTAGCAAATTTTAAAAATGTGATGTGCAAGCTATGCAAGCATAAACAATGACAGACAGAAAAATGGGTGAAGCTCCCACTACATTGATAATCAGCTGTAGCAAGGTGGATGTCACAGTAAAAGTTTATATATAAACTCTGATAACAAAACTTTGTGCAAGACATCATTATCAACTTGATCATATAGTAATTTGCTGATTTTGCCAGGTAACAGGGAGAAATGACTCCAGGTGATCTGAATGAACTTAATCTATTTCCTGCCAAGCCGACTGAACTGCAGTAGACTTCATGAATGTTTGTTTAGAAAAGACGAGGGACAATAATTTCTTTATAGGTGCATCAAACAAAAATGATTCCCAACCTGATAAATAAGCAGAATCATTTTTCTTGAAGACATTGTGAGCGATCTTCTTCTTTGTAGCATCCTGGTTAGCATAGCCATCAAAACGCCTTAATGGGTCTTGTTGGTTGATGCGGCCTACCAGAAGGCCTGGTTCCCCTGCAAGGCATGGAGGACTATAATTTAGCACACTAAGAAGACCAGCATAGGTCAAAGACTCCCAAAACCCTTCAAGTTGTAACTGCTGTATAGATGTTCAGTACCAGGGCGGCAAGGCACACAGAACCCACGGCTGTCCCGAACAAGTTCCATAGTGTCTTCATCAACCCTCACCAGACGGATGGGGTACACATTGGGAAGAATACGGCTGTTGAATCCACAGGCTCCCACCTGGCACGACAGAATTAGCTAAACTCTGATCCAATTAACATTGTAATAGTGAGGACATGCATGTAAAGTTACATGGTAGTTGCTGACCTTGCCATCCATGTTAGCAATGCTGCAGTTGCACTCGGTGGCCCCATAGAACTCGCCAATCTGCGCCACCCCAAAACGCTCCATGAAGGCTTCCCAAACACTGGGGCGCAATCCATTTCCCACAGCAAGCCGTACTTTGTGTTGCTTCTCAGCAGGCCGCACGGGCTGAGACAAGAGGTAGCGGCAGATTTCCCCAATATACTGCACCACCTACAAGCCGAGGGAAGAAAAAAAAAATCTTATTGTTCAAAACCTCATGGTTTATGAATAACTTCAAAAAAACTATTATAAATGCCATACTAATGAAATCAATAGGTGCTTACAGTGCAGTTGTACTTCATACAATCTTCCCAGAAGCGGCTGGCAGAGAATTTTTTCTTCACTACAACAGTGAGGCCGTGGATCAGACACTGGCCAACTCCAATAATGTTTCCTGGAAAGAGAAGAAAACTTGATCAAACCTTGAAGGTGAAACTGTAGTCATTAAAAATCTGTAGACTAGCACCACATACCTGCTGAGTGATAGAGAGGCAGGCAGTCATAGACAATGTCATCAGAGCGCATGCGAAAGGCAAAATACCCAAAAGCAGCAATTCTGTAATAGCT